GGATAGTGGCTACCTATTCAAGAACCAACGGCATCCGATCCAGCGGCCTTGTTTTCTCCAGCCCTCGCTCTCGCCCTCCCCGAGAAGGGCTCGAATTTCAGTCCATACGCGGGCCTCCGATCGCTGAGGTGACAGACAACAACGCCGACGCCAGCCCGGACCCGGTCACACACACAACCTTGCCTTGCTTTGCCTTGTCTCCAGGACCATGCAACTCTCGCTCTCACATCCTCATCACACATCCCTGGCCGCCCGACCTCATCGAAAGTTACCTGCCAAAGGAGATTGGCCCAACCTTCTCCTCCACATTTTCATCTCCTCAGAGGCTCTGCGCCTTGTGCCGTCCTGGAACCGTCTTCCTGCCTGCTTGCCCTGGGCCTGCAGCGAGGAGGTGGGAGGCACCGTCCACAATTCATACAGTCACTTCCGTCCCCCGTCTGGTGACGACACGATACCACAGAAAACGGGACAAGACAAGGATTTTCTTTCTCGACTCCTCTCCTTCTCGAATTGACGCTTGTCCCACCCTTTTCTTCGTTCTTCCATCTTGGCCTTACGGATACCTACCATCCTCGCAATCGTCAACCATCCTTGCAACCTCGGTCCTCCGAGCGGCGCTTCACTCCATTTGATCAAATTGATCTGCTTCCATTTCCCCGCCCACCTCGCTCACCCACCACCCAAACGCCATGCAACGCTGCAGATGAAAGGCATGCTGCATTTGCTAGCAACTCTCCAACCCTTACCGTCAACCCCGAGAAGCCACGAGCCATCGCCGTGTCATATTGCTCTGGGTCTCGCGGGATGATGCCCAGACGCCACCCAGAGGCGCAAAGTTCAAGGTTGTTGTCTGTTTGCTGCTGTTGCCACGACCCGGTACTCCACTACGCGGGTGTCATTCCGCATTGGTCTGATCTTTTGATGCGACACAGACGAACGAGAGACGCGGCCCGGAGAGGCGACTGCGGCCACACTCATTTAATTCATCTAACCCATGCCTGAGCCATCTCTTCGCCAGACCCCCGCCCGTCTTGCTTGCTCGACGGCCCTGCTACGTATCTGCCAGCATCATGAGACGACTTTCCCTCAATTTCTGGTCGTCTCATTACCGAAGCAGCCATGCATGGCGACAGCCCGGGAGCTCCACCGGAGCCAAGCCTTGAACTCTCCGACCAATCGATCGGAGGTAACCGACACGATGCCAGACCGAGTGCGACATGACATGCAACGGAGTCATCTAGGAGCCGTTCGCGCCAAACTTTTCTTGAGTCCTGAAGAGAATAGTCACTCCTCAGTCATCCATTACGGCGGCCGATGCGGCGTCTACCGGAAATGGTTGAGCTAGGCGACCTGACGGCCTCTAATACGGATACGCATTCTGCCTTGCCTTGAACGTCAAACTCAGCAACTCTTCTTGGCTGCAAGTCCGGCTGGGTAAAGCATACCACGCGCACTTCATGCGCAATAGACGGTGAAGGAGGTGTGCGCGTGTGTGCGTCTGAGTGTGACTGTATGTCAGCACTTCTGCAGCAAAATCGCGGTAACCGCATCAGCGTGTTTGCGGCAGACTGCGCCTATGCGGACCGCATCACGTCGCCCACGGCACCCTAGGCTGACTGCCATTTGGACTGCATCGTTCGTCCCCTAGAGGAGAAAGAAAACTCTTGACGGAAGGTCAACGCGGCAGCTGAAGCATTGTGCCGTCACGTCAATTTGGCTCTTCAACCACTGCACAGCGATATGGTACGGCGTAGGTCCGGATGCCGCAAGACGAAACTATCCATCTGGCCCGGTCCTGGTTGCTAAGATTGGACTGCCGGAGAGGTTGGGACAGTTTCCATCCAAGAAAGGCTCATCCGTCTCGTCACAGCACATGTGTCGAATGGTATTACCCTGTCCTCAACCACTTTCCCTCAACCCATCTAAGGCTTCCCGTTGGCTGCAGCTCTCATTCTGACGGGCCAATGGGGACGATCCTGTCGTCTAGCTAGCATCACGGTGGATGGGCGTGGTGGGGCACGGCGGTAAAGACACCCGAGCGGAGGGCGACACTGGAACTGGAGCGGTAGTTTTCGTGCGCCAGAGCGGGTGTGTGAACAGATTGGGCGAGGCGGTCGAGTCGGGTAACTGGCTTCGGCCGATGATCCATGCTTCGATCCAGCTGGCTCCGGTGTGTGTGTGTCGAGCCCTTTTGGCGCTTTTTCTTTCCTTCTTCTCCGCACCTCTCACCTCAAACACACGCCCTGCTGCGACAAGCGCTACGCCAGACAAAGACGGGAGGGAGATGGGGTGCAAGAGGTAACAGAAACACTTTGACCGCCGCCGTCGGAGCCGACGGTGCAATTGCCTTACCGTCTACAGCACCTTATCCGTGAATGCGCGACGCGATGAAGAGACGAGACGACACGAGACGAGCGGATCGGTCCCGGGCAAAGCTGGGGTAAATAAAGTCTATCAAACTTGCGCTGAAAGTGTCCAACAGTTGCCATCTCCACCCAGCAACCAAGAGCGATGGAGCTAAAAATAATCCACCATGGCCTGCATCCCAGTCCATCGACATCGGAAGATTAACGTTTCTGTTTCACCCCTTGACCCATCAGAGGAACGGAAGCACCAGATTGCGGACCTATCGCCGAAGGGAAGGGATGCTTACAGACACTGCGTGCAGCACCTCAAGCTGCCTTCAGTTGACCAGATACCGCAGTACTACATGTCATTTAGTGTCTCTGGATCACAGTTTCGTCAACACGGACCACACTTCGCATCGACCGGGAGCTTTTCTCTGCACTCGATTTGCATCTCGCAGTCGCAGCGCACACCGGAATGAGACTGGCGCATGCGCAGCCGCGAGCGGAGGAATCAACAGCCGTAGTCGATTGGGCAGATGCGGTCAGCGGAGCTTCCACCACCATTGTCCACTGTACACCACCACTTTGACGTATCACTGCAATAATGGTTAGGCGAAAAGTTGTGACGTTGCTTTGGAGTTGCGTCAGGACTCAACGTGACTAATAGAGATGGGCTCGATCTGCTGAAGAACGGAGTTCAGAGCCGAGACATGGCTCAACGCGAGCCCGAAATTGAGACCATACCCTCTCTAATCTCACGCCGACGGTGATCAAAACCTGCTCAAATGAGTATGCACTGCCGCGCATGCTAGTGCGAATGGCGGCTGAGAAACGAAACAAGTTGCCAACGGGGCGTTAATACGAGATTTGCAAGCTAAGCCCGTCTGTTGACGACAACGCCCAGCGACGGTGTTGTACTTTGTGGGGGGGGGTGTTTTCATGCTAGGCAAGTTGAAGTGGGAGACGAAACTGGGCCACAAGCGGTCTCGCCAACTACTAGACGCGTGCCAGAACGAGAGAAATGGTATTGGAAGGGGAGACGAGCAACTGGGGACCATCTGCACCCTTTCCCGGCATTCTCATTGGCGCGAGCCGAGCCAGCATCAATCAACCACATCCGTCGGCAGTGCTGAGTGCGTGCGAATGTGAATTTGTTCCTCTCATCCAGTCAACAACTTGGTAGGGGGGACTGAACCCTGAATGCAACGCTGGTCAGCCACATCTATGAGTCCGGCCGAACACTCCAGCAGAACGACATGTCGCGAATGTCAAAATGGTCGCCTCCGAAACGCCCACTGCCACTGCGTTGCTGTTGCATCGCGGGTCGATGCCAATGGCAAGCAATATTCTCAGGACAGAGACCTTGTCAGACAGGGGCTCCCGCGTGGGTAGATGCTATTTCTGAAGGCACGAGCGGATGAAGGGACCAAAGGTTCGACCGGGGTCGCTACGGCACCGATGTTGGTCGTCTCGACTCTCGAGTCTGGAGGACGCCAGGATGCTCGGTCTGGAGTCATGTGGGCTGGATCACACAAGTCTCGGTGTTTCTTTTGCGCGCCTGGCTGCGTATCAAAGCCGTTTCCTGCCAGACTTGGGAAACGTGGAAGACCCTTGCCGCCAATTTTTTGGCGGTGCGGCACACAATGCACAGTAAACAGCACCCAGCACACACGCACAACGCGCGAGAATTCACATAGCTATGTTACCTTCATCAGAGCCTGGGACCCTGGCCAACCAGCGGTCTAAAGGGTTGCACTGGTGGTCAAGCTTCGCGAGGCAGACGAGTGGAAACCAGTGCAACGTCAGAGGCGGCCAGCGTCTCCGGATGCGCGAGGGGCCTTCCTGGTGAACCGTGAGGTTGACTGGGGGTTTTATTCGTACACAGACGACTCTCTTTGCCAGGTCGCACCAGACTGCCTCAAATGCCAGTTGAGGAGAGCAACACAGACGACGTGCTGACAGGTTTGCCAGGAACGGCCAACTGAGCGACAAGTGACATGACGGACAGCGAGATGCAGTCTGGCGAAGGTGAGGTCAGGGTCCGGTCTGGGGGGAGGGGGTGCAAGTACCTACTGCACCCAAGTGTGAGAGTCCCGACTTAGCGATAGGCGGAGAATCGCTTGATTGTCGCGGGAAATCGCTTGTTTGCTGCCCCCAAGTTCCAATGTGGCAAGGAATTGCAAATAGACGAGGCCGCGGAAGAGCGGGGGCCAAAAAAGCCGTGCCGTGCGTGCGTGCGGCTAGAGCGTCTTCAAGGTTGTTGCTGAGGGAGGGTGGCAGACCCCCCATCGAGATTAATGAAGCAGGTCCCCTTACCTTTCACGTGGCAGCTGTTAACACAGATATTATGACAATATGCGTGAGCGTGCGTGCGTTGCAGCAGGCTTACTTGAGTACAGAACACCGCAATTCTGCCTCGACCAGGACCTCCACCATGACGGTTGACTTTCACTGTGACCGTTCCGCACGCACATCGCGGGGAGGGGGAAAAGACATACCGGTGAGGTCCGTGAGATGAGGATGTGCCAGCCCAAGTGGGCTGGATGTCGTCGTCCATCAGCCGGGCGCGGGCTTAGGCGCGTGTGTCATGTCCGATGGACGTGTGCCATAGGGCCGACTGGAGGGGGAAAAAGAGACCATCTAAGCGACAGAATGGTGACAGACGGGGGTGGAGGAGTCGAGACGTTTGGCATGAGCAACGCTCGGGTTCCTTGCCACCTGAACTGGCTGGGCTGCCACGGCTGCGAACGGGACGGCCTCGATCTGTGTTCCCACGGGCGGGTAATGAAGCCTCGAAGGCGATGGAGAGTGTGAGGGTGACGATAATGTACGAAAGAGCAGGGCAAGGTGAGGCCAGGCCAGGCCGGTCGGTCACAGTCGAGGTTTGCAGGTCGATTACAGACTAATTGCAAGTATACACAGAGATGGAGCGAACACTCGCAGGAAGACAAGAGAAAGGCAGACAGACAGAAAGGACGTGGGTTGCAGAGAAGAGCTCGGGGCTCACACCCCCTCCATTCCTCGCCAATGGCCTGTCGACACGCCCCCTCCTTTCTGCATGCCATCCCCCCTGTTCATGCCTTGCCAGGGGATCCAGCACCTGGAGGCGACGACAAACGCACGCATAGTGGTTGGTAGCGTCGCGCTACCTAGTTGTCGGCAGCGCTGCCCGCCAGTATCGCGCAAGTACCTTGTGGCGGTCGAGTACCCGTGAGAAGCGCCATGCCGCCCCAATATTGTTCGACTGTTTCCCGGGCTTAGCGATGAAGAACGAGAGGGGGTTGGACAACGAGTCTTAGGAGGGGAGGGCTTCCTTTTTTCTTTCACACGACCACCTACCAACACGCAGAGGGGAGGGGATATGGCAGTGGTTCCCCGGGCACGCATGAAGTGGCATTCTGGCGGGAGAGGGGCCGCTTGGTTCGAGGCCAAATCCAGGAGGAGAAAGAGGAGGAGGATGAGCGAGGATGGGGATCCCGTTCGTTCAGAAGAGGACTCGACAGACGGGTATCGCTACGATTTGCAGAGATTCTCTGTATAGATACAAAAAGTACTGGAGCACCCGCCGAGACTCTCCGGTCTCGTCCCTGTTACCCCAGGAGGCGTTTCTCTTCCCTTGCAATTTAGTTTCGGTCGCGCACCACTCACCCCGTTCCGCCTCGAAGCTGAGCTGAATAGGCGAACCTTTAAACGCTTCTAAGCGTGCGTCTGGGCCTGTCGAGCATCTGCACCCGGTACCTAGGTCTACTTAGATACCCAGACTCGACCCCGACTGCTTTTTCTAACACCAGAGGTTCGCTACCACATGATAACAACATATTCCTCCCCTCTCCTCATCCTCCCCCCCGTCACACTCACAGTTTCTTGTCATCTCACCCTTTCGCTCATCCCACCCGTCAACATCCGAAACCACGCAAACTCTCTTTCAGCAACCTCCTAGCCTAACTCATCAGGCAGGCCTCATACTGCTGCAGCACACCACAAACGCAACAACATTCTCTTCACAGACTGCACGGCTGGAAGGACTGGAATAGTATTCCCAGTCCAAGGTCTACATCCACAAGTGTTGTCGACGACAGCATTGCGCTTCGCAGGAAGGAGTAATTTGGGTTGCGTTACAGCCGACCGTCTCGCCACTGGGAGAAGCCATTCCGTCACGGCCTCACCTTACAGACGCAGCATAATCGCGCGCCAAAAAACGGCTCAAGCGCCGACGATCAGCAGCCATCATCCCTCGACTAAGGACAAACCCCTAAGACGGGAGAAGAAAGAAGGGTGCATTGCTCGGAGGGCCAGGCCGGCAAGTAAACGACAAGAGACAAGAAGTATTACTTGAGGGACAAGCGGGAAAGCAAAAGAAAGAGACAGGGCCTTCCTTCTACTTTTCTTTCTTCTGGTTCTTTAATTCCAAGATCCCGCCCCTCGCGACGACCACCACCACAACCACCACCATCAGCGAAACGGAGAAGACAGACACAGGCACACACTAATAATTACAAACCCACCTCAAGCTCAGCGAGCGTTTCCGACGTCAACACACACCAGCAGAAGTATTGTTATTGTTTCTGCCCGGTGCTTCAACGTAACGCAACGCAACGCAGCGCAGCGCAGCACTCTGCTCTCCTCTCACCCACACACCCACACCCACACCCACTCCATCCATTAACCCCCTTCGCGGTAGATCGCAAGCAAACAGCGGAGCATCTGCCCGACCCCGAACCCCCGTTCGTTCTGGACGCAAACACACACACACCCGACCTTTGGGGGCCAAGAACAACCACCTCACGCACGCGCTACATTGAAAAGAAGGAGAAGAAGCAGCTCGACTGTTTCTGAATCCACCTGCCACATTGAATCGACTCAGTCGTCATTCGAGGACATCTCAGCAGGGATAATCATTTCATGAGAGGGACAGCGTGAGTACCATTATTCATCATTCGTCTCCAAACGCTCTCTCGAGTTTCTCCTCTGCTTGTTACTTGTTGGAGAGATTGCTTTTTTTTTTTTGGCCTAATATTCTTCTCGCACCCACCACCGGCGTCTAGAGGAGGGAAGGGCGCAAACTCTCTTGACGGCCTCGAGCTTCCGTCGAGGCCGGAGACACTGGGTCGCCTGTTCCCATCCAATTTCTCTCACACACATTCATACACCAAGGGCTGCACAGCCTCAGGTCTCAGCGGCCTCTCTCTCATTTTCTGCCCTTGTCCACCCCCGGGCGGACAAGACACCGCTCTCGCTCTTGTCGCACGTACCTACTGACGCACGCGCGCACAGCCCAGCAATTATTCCGCACACGCCCCCCCGTTCACTAAAACACGAGGGAAGCGATTGAGAGAGCAGCAGCAGCAGAAAGAGCGGGAAGAGAGAAAAAAAAAAAAAAAAGGTCCAAAGCTCAAGCTCCCGCGTCCTCCGCGCGCCGCGCACCGTAGCAGCGACTGCGGCATCCACCAACGGCATCGGCAAAGTGAGGGTCATCGTCTGGTTTTGATAGCTGGCAGCTACTTTTTTCCTCAGATCTGGCGAGGGGTCTAGGGGTCAGACATAGAGAGGGGAGCAAGGAGAAGGGGGAAGAAAAAAAAAACTTCTTACCCACCCCCCACGACGACAAAGAAACGATCTGGCTGAACCATCAAGCTGAGATCTGGGTTCCAGCTCCAGTTCCAGTTCCAGTTCCCGTTCCCCCTTCTGATCCGAACCGCCAACTTGCATACAGCATACATACATACAGCAGCAGCTCGACGCTCGCCAACATCCCACCCGACAAAGCCAGGGTGAGGAAGAACGGACAAAAAAAAAAAAAAAAAAGAGTTAACTAACTCTCTGAGCCCGGAAGACATCGAGGCGCCACCACCACCACCACCACCCTGTCTCAAAAAGTCGTTCCCTCGCCTCGGAACCCCAGCACATCTGCGCTACCGCTACCGCTACCGCAACTGCAACGCTGGCCAGGTTCATCGAGTCCTCCTGCGGCTCTGTGTCTCCTCTCAAAGAGGTCATTCCCAAAGTCTTTTCTCGGCCCGAATCGCTGATTCTGGCATTGATTGACGCGTGCCGCCCTGCTGCGCACCCTTCCAGACCTCATCTCCAATCTCATCTCGCGGTACATTTCCCCTTCTGCCGAAGCTCCCTGTTGGATTCTTCGCGCACTACGCGACCTGCCGTCATCCATTGTTGATCTGCTGTCGCTTACCGCGCCCACTCGGTCTCATCGACCCCAATTTCAACCTCACTCCCAAACCATCGCTCACCACGGCTTCAACCCAACCGTCGCCGCTCTCATCCTCCCGCGCCCCGACTTGGTGAGGCGCGGCGCTGAACCATGTCAGCTTTCACCGCCCTCAATGGGGGCTCACCACCAAAGACATCAGAACCGACGAACCAGCCTGCCGACGCCGCCGCCAGAGCATCGCCAGAGGACCATCGCTCCAACGGCTCGCCCACCCATCATGAACCTAAAGCGCCCACCGCCGCAGAGGCGACGAGGGAAAGCTGGGCTGGCCCGAGAGGCCAGGACAAGTCGCCATACCACTCGACGAATTACCCTGATGTTGACGGCTCTCTCAAGAGGAAGCGGTCAGACTCGCCGCCGCAGCAGAGAAATGCGCCCATGACTCACGAGAGATCGCCAGATGCGCCAGCTCACCCCTCAGAAACACGCAGTCCGTATCGGTCACCGCCGCCCGATCACCGCCCTCGGGAACGCGAGGACCAGCGTGAAGGCGACTCGTGGTATTCCCGGGAAGGAGACAGAGAGGACCGCAGTTACTACGACCACTCAACGATGTCTGCCCAGTCAGAAGACCAGATTGGGGAGCTCCAGCGGGCAAATCAGATGGACAGCCAGGGTTACGACAACACCAGCCCGGATGGCGATGACAAGAGCATGCCTTACAGCCCTTACACTCCGACCGGCGGCTCTCGCGACGCCATTCTCCAGTCCGAGAAGAAGAGGAAGCGTAACTTTAGCAATCGTACCAAGACTGGGTGCATGACCTGCCGGCGGAGGAAAAAGAAATGCGACGAGCAGAAGCCCGAGTGTAAGTGTCTCTCTCGCCGCTGGCACAGTTGACGATACTGACCCTCTCACAGGTAGCAACTGCATCCGCGGCGGCTTCGTTTGCGCAGGATATCCTCCACAGCGCAACGCGGTCTGGCAGAAGTCGGACAACAAGGCCACGGCCATTCCTCTGGAGTCAAAGGACCCGAGCTACGTCCCGCCTGGTGCTTACGGTATGCCCCAGTCTCAACCACCGCAATCTCAACCTCAGCCTCAGCCGCAAGCACAACCTCAATCTCAACCCCCACCCCAGCCTCAGCATCAATCACAGCCTCCGCACCAGCCCCAGCCTCAGCACCCACAGCAAGCCCCTTACGGCACTCAGCCTGCCGTCGGGCAGAGGCGTGAGCCTCTCTCTTATCATCGAGGACAACCGCTGAGGATAGACACTCCTCAAGGCCGGCCCATCGCAGATCAAGACGTTGATCGGCAGACCGGATCGACGCTGTCGGCTTCCATGGTGTCTAACCCGCTCTCCGGGTCCACGCTGACACCCTCGACAATACCAAGCGTCAATAGCGCCATCAGCCCCGACCAGAAGCAGCTGTCGCCCTCCGGTCACCCTTACCCGTTCAACGTGACCTCGAGCCCGCAGCAGCAGCGAGAGCCGCACCCGCCCATCTCCGAGAAACGGTTCGACCGCGTGCCACCCCTGCTCGACCTCAGCAGGACGGCCAACGACCCCGACACCCCGTACCCGGCCCCGACGTTGCCCCAGATCAACATCCTGCACCCGACGAGATCGAACAGCCCGAACCCGCAACCGCCAGCCACGACGAACGTCCAGGTGGCGGCGCAGCTGGCGCTCTCCCACGCGCAGTTCCCCGCGAACAACCGCATCCGGTCGCAGAAGGAGGAGATGCTGAGCGGCAAATTCTACTACCCCTTCGACAAGGAGCTCGTCCTCGAGCGTGAGCGCTGCAGCGCCGCCTGCTGGCGCTTCAACAACTCCACCAACCCTAACAACGGTGTCTCCCCCAACGAGAGGGCCCGCCTGTTCCGCGAGATCTTGCAGCCGCGTGAGCTCCTCTCGCCCTCCCCCGGGTCGTCCCCCGTGACCAACATTGGCCGGGTCGGCGAGAACGTCGTGGTCGAGGCGCCATTCGTGTGCGACTACGGGTACAACATCGTCATCGGGCAGAACGTTATCGTCGGCCGCAGCTGCACGATTCTCGACGCCGCAGAGGTGAACATCGGAGACAACTGCCACATCGGGCCCAACGTCAGCATCTACGCCGCGACACTGCACACCGATCCGAAGAGACGGCAGGGCAGCAAGGGTCCGCAGATTGGTAGGCCCGTCACCATTGACCAGGACTGCTGGATCGGTGGAGGCGTCACCATTCTGCCCGGCATCACCATTGGAAAGGGCAGCACTGTCGGTGCCGGTTCCGTCGTTACCAAGGTACGTCAATTTAAACTCTGATTGTGAGATCCACATCTGACTCGTTTTTCTCAAAACAGAACGTGCCGCCCTTCACCATCGTCGGCGGCAACCCGGCCAGAGTCCTCCGCGGCATCGGCTCTTGAAGAAGAAGAGAAAAGCTTACAGTTGACTGCTTAGCCTTGCGTCTCATGTTCCTTGCTGCTATGATACCCAGCTCACAATACAGTTTTATTGCCCCTGTACAAAAGCGTGTGTATTTCTCTAATGTTTCTCTACCATTTGCTGTTGTCTTTTCTTTCATCTTTCTTTTGCGAGCCAAGCGCACGGAGCAGGGGTGAAGGGGAGAATTCTAAAAAAGAACCTGGCGTTTTTAATACTATGGTCTTCTTTTCCTTCTGTGGTGCTCTTAAGAGACGAGGGGGATATGGGAAAAGTTATACAAGATGGAGGGTTGTTTAGCTCTGGCAGCTAGTTGACGGAGCAAGAAAGCGGATGGACTGGTTTCAATCCCCCGGTGCGTGGAAGAATGAGAAATCGAGTTGTTGACTGTCTCCCTCGAGGTGTCGTGTAAAGTCTGTGAGTCTCGTCAGCGTGTACGGGAATGGTCCTCCGACGAGACGGACAGGGGGATGTAGTGGATGTGAAAATGAAGTTGAATGAGGGCATGATATCTATGAGCACACTTTCCTGGACTGTGAAATAATGGAAGATCGTTACATATATATACACACGCATACGTGTACACGTACAGGTCTGTTTGGATATACCGCGCCACATTACTCTACTCTTGCTCCGGCACAAACACGACAGCCTGGCCCCAACTTCCCCTATCCGACGCCTCCTTCAGCGCCGTGTCCCAATCACCGAGCCCGAACGCGACAGGCTTCTCGTGGCCGACCGCGTCCCCGAGCTTCACGACGCCGCTCTCGACGAGCCGGATCACCTCGCCGACCTGCTCCCGGGTGTACATGTACTGCCCCTTGACAGTAATATTCCTGAACATGATGCTCGGGTGGGAGATGCCGACGTCGCCCGCCACGCCGCCCATGAGCGTCGCCCTGCCGCCGTCGCGGAGGGCCGCGATGCACGCTCTGATCTGCCTGCCCGGGTCCGCGAGCGTGGGCGGCGAGAGGTCGATGTACGCGTCTGCTCCTTTCCTCGGGGCCAGGGCTCGGAGGGAGGAAGTCAGGGTCTCTTCGAAGGAGGCCGAGTCTGAGGGGAGGGTGAGTGTCTTGACGCGCGGGAGGTGAGACAGCTTCCGGAGGGTTTCCGGGTTGCGTCCGACGGCGATGACATTTGCGCCGATGGCGGACGCGAGCTCGACCGCCGCGCCGGAGTACTGCCCCGTCGCCGGCGCGACGACGAGCGTCTGTCCGGCCTTGAGCCCGACCGCGCGGACGCCGCCGTAGGCCACCGCGAGCCTGTTCAGGTAGAGCAGCTCCGCGTAGGAGTATCCCAGCGCGGAGAGGCGGTCCTCGTCGAGGGGGTGGCAGTTCTCGACGGGCACGCTCGCGGTGTCCTTCCACAGGCCGTGGGGCCAGACGTCGCGGAAGAGCTTCTTGTGCTGCGGGGTTGCGCCGTCGTGGAGCCCGAGGAGGATGTGGACGTCCGGGTCGTCGCGGGCGGCGACGTAGGAGTCCACGAGGACGAGCTGGCCAGGCTGGAGGGAGACGGAGTCCGGGGACGGGTGGAGGACGCGGGCGATGGCGGCGTGGCCGGGGACGAAGGGGGTCGGGAACGAGAGGGCTGTGAGGGCGCCGGTGAGGTAGGATGAGGCGGTTGGGCTGATGGCGGAGGCGAGGACGGAGACTATGGTTTGGCCTGGGAGGGGGGAGGGGACGGGGACGGTTGTGTGAGTGAGGGAAAGGGGGGAGCTGACGGAGGAGAGGATGAGGGCTTTTGTCTGAGTTGTGGATGACATCTTTTGTGTTTGATGAGGGGGTTTGAGTGTTGAAGTGGTTTTAATCCTGATGTTGGGTTATTGATCTCTAATGAACGGGAGAGTCATTAAGCTGGAAGTCCTCACTTATAGCCACAACAACGACCACTTGATCAGCGATACTCCAAGCTGAATGACGATAGCAGAGCCACAGAAGGATGTTCAACTCCACATATCGCCAGCTTGCCACCATCGTGGCTTTCACCCATACTTACAACATCTATCATTATCACCGGTAAGCTCTTATCCACAATTTCAGGCGAGACAAGCATCCAGTGGCAGTGCTTACTCCATAGGTTATTCGGATGTCAGCAAAAGTGAAGCAAAAGTGAAAGATCGTCGGTTGTTAGGCAACGAGACCAGGTTGATGGGACTTCGGAGAAGCCCTTTCCTAAAGTGGAAAGTTCTAACTCCGGCGTATCCCCGACTAACACCAGGCCAGACCATGATGATGCCGACCATCATTCCTTCTGATGACAAACCGCCGGAGTTTAGTTCAAGCCTCTTTTGCTCAATGTCAATTCTCCGAGGAAAACAGACGTTTGCCTGATCCATCCATTTCACACATCTTTCAATCGTCAAGATCACGGAGACATCGACGTCCCGAATTGGAAACTCTTCATCCCGACCCGGTCCTCCGTCTTCGCCGCCCCCACCGGACCGTGCCGGCCGAGTGACACACGTCCCATCATGTCCGACATTGCCCAGTTCACCTCCGTCTTCCGCGCCCAGTCGCTATCGGACCAGCACCGCAAAGTGACCAAGCGCAACCGCCAGCCAGTCTCCTGCCTTGCCTGCCGCGCGCGAAAGCTGAAATGCTCCCGCACGCTTCCCTGCGCGGCATGCACCAAGCGCGGGGACGGAGACGCGTGCAAGTTCGGGCCCAGTCCACCTAGCAACAATGCCGGGGCTTCAAACAGCAGCAAGGTGAATGCCATCTCCCACGCGACCCAGGATGTGAATCAAAATGGCTCCCCGGGGCAGCAAAAGCAGCCCCGCCAGGAGGTCCAGCTTCGTCTCCAGAAGTTGGAAGACATGGTCCAGGACCTTGTGCGGATGGGGGGATCCGGGCCGTCCAAAGACCGCTGCGCCGCTCCGGGCATCGTAGCCCAGGCCGGTCCGACCCCGACAGACTCGGAACCCAGCCACGACGAATCATCACCATCTTCGGCCCCGGCGGACGCGGAGGTCGCTTATTACGGTGCAACACACTGGTCCGCTCTCCTTCATCACATCCGAGAGATACAGACAGCGCTGGAACCGGACAACACCACACTTCCAGAACCTCCTGAAGCAGCCGCATGCTCCATAGGCCCGGATTTCCTCTTCGGGGCCGTCTCGCCTTCCGTCTCGATCCAGGAGATCCTCGCAAGCCTCCCCTCGCAGCAGGACACCAACAGGCTGCTGGGCATCTACTTCCAGGCCCGCTTCACAGCCGTCCCGTTCATCCACACCGGCCGTTTTCAACGCGAGTCCGAAGCCTTCTGGGACAACCCCGAGGGGACGAGCTTCCTCTGGATCAGCATCCTCTTCTCCATCCTCGCCGCCTCGGCCGTCATCGTTAAGGGCAAAGGCAACCCCGCGTCTCTCGGTCTCAGCAGCCCGCTGAAGGAGCCCTCGGCGTACGCCGGCCGCGCGGTGCAGTGCCTCATCAAGGGCAACTACCTCGCCGCCAAGACGTACTCCGTCGAGGCGACGCTGATGGTCGCCTACACCAGGAACATCGCGAGCAAGGACGTCGACCCGGTGATGTGGAACATGTTCGGCGTCGCCACCAGGCTTGCCCAGCGGCGGGGTTACCACCTCGAGCCGAAGCACCTCTCGTACAAGATCACGCCCTTCGAGGCCGAGATGCGCCGCCGTACGTGGTTCTACTGCGAGGCGTTCGACCTGCTGCTCTCCTTCCAGCTAGGCATGCCCGCCATCATCCACGAGGGCGACAGCGACGCCCGCGGGCCGGGGAACCACCCGGACGAGGACTTTGACGAGACCACCGTGTCGATGCCGCCCCCGCGCCCCGCGCTCGACCCGACCCCGTCGCTCTACTACCACTGCAAGTCGAAGCTGTGCCGGATCCTGCGGCGGGTCATCCGGCACACGCTCTCGCCCGTGGAGCCCGCCTACGCGGACACGGTAGCGCTGGACGAGGCCCTGCATGCGTGGCGCGCGGAGCTGCCGGCGTGCTTCGCCGTGCGGCCGATCGCGTCCGCGGGGTTCTCGGAGCAGAACTACACCATCATGCAGCGGCTGATGCTGGAGCTGATGTTCCGGAAGGCGCTGTGCGTGCTGCACCGCGCGTACCTGAGCCGGGACAAGAGCGAGGTGTGCTACGACAGGTCGCGGCAGACGTGTCGGCGGGCTGCGCTGCGGATCTTGGAGTTGCATGAGGAGTTTGACCGCGAGGCGAGCCCTGGCGGCAGGCTGTTCGAGGACCGGTATATGCTGAGTAGCTTGACGCTACACGACTTCATGATCGCCGCTATGGTGATTTGCTTGGATCTCAACCGGGTTTTGGAAAATATCCCGGAGTTTACGGATACTAGGTGCGTTTCTCTTGTTTGGTCGGGCGGGTTGAGTGCTGACTGACATTCAACAGCGATGAGGACTACGAGAGGAAGATGAACGCTCTCCGAACGGCAGCCAGGATCTGGGAGGGACGGTCGAACTGTTCTAGGGATGCGAGACATGCTTCTGCAGTGTTGAGGGCTATGTTGCGTCGGCTGAGCTGCAGAGAGAATACAGGCACAAAGGTTGCAGCGTGTTCGACAACGGCGGCGTCGAGCGTGACTCTCGGCAGCGAGCCAACTCCCTTCGGAGGCATGCCTCAGATGAATCTTGGGTTTGGCGATGTGGGCAACGGGTTCGACCAGCTACAGGGTGTCGACATGTTCCAGGGCGGCGGCGTCGACTTCATGGCCCTGGATAACGCGCTGAATGACCCTGCTAATCTAGACTGGGTGAGTCTGATATGCTTCGTTGTGTTTATGGTGTCGTTGGCTAACTGGCTCTTGCAGAACTTTCTGGACCAGTACCTGTCCAAAGATCCTAACGGGCAGCTATCGATGGATATGTCAATATGATAAAACATTTGGAATGAGGATGGCGATGGTATATAGCTTCAAAGTCTGGTCAAACAAAACGCGAATAATAATGTAGACAATCTTGGAGCTTTGGGGGGCAGGAGACTGTTCCCCGCTACCCTGGCTCGCCATGAACTCCATTGTCGTGAACTCGGCGATGTATGAGTGACATCTGCCAAAAGCGGCACCAGACTACCCCCTGACGCATACAGTGAAAGAAGGCCTCCAGCTTTAATGTTGCGAGTGCATTCATAAAGCCGGAGGAACTCACAACTCCATGAGGGGCCGTGGCGGCTATAGCCAGTGCGACGAGCCCCCGTTGTCTAGTCATCTCCATCGTCAGCGTCAAGGATCAATCGCACTACCTGACACCAACGAGATGAAAACCCTCCAGACAGCCCGGAATTCGGCCAATACAATACAGGGCAATCGATCCATTCGAGATGTAATAGGTCAAATGAAAGACAGCACCGCCCCCAAGAGTGACGCATATAACAGAGCGCCTGTCAAACGCAGATTTCAACTCCACGATATTGTTGTCTCCATTCCCCCTGAAAACCACCCCGAAAACGATCTCATCACACCCGGCTGACCTTGAAATCTTCAAGCTCCAATTTATCTCCCCTTCCATGTGACTATTGCCATCTAACTTCGTTAACCTCCTTCCAAGACCGGGTGGCATCGACAACAGCTGTCTAAACAAATTCACCCCTTCTCGCTCTGCAGAGGCCAACCAAGCACCTATACATACTCTCCAGACCGCATTTTCCCAAACGAGTAACCTTCACAGCAAAAGACACGCTCGCCCCGGCGATACAAAATGAAGATTCATCTCGCTTGGTGCTGTCGGCCCGCCCTCTTCACCCCGGAAGGCCCCCCCGTTCCCCTTTCCTCCTCACCCCGGTTCGGAAGCTTTGGGAATGGACGTCATTACAGTCTTTCAGATGAGAGAAACGGTGCCCCCTTGCTGCGTGCCAGGTCTGGAGACTTGGAAGAGAAAACGCGCCCATGGACGAGTTCTGCCGGCTCACCCGTAGCTGAAGCGGGGCAGAGACCGGGAGGCTGGATGGAGTACGGACTGCTTTGAATGCAAGGCTGACGTGCATCAGAACTTGCAGCTAGTTCCTCGGAAAGGAGGAAGACGTTGGACATAGGTCAAGATGACCCCTGAACTAACACCTTTCGCCGTTGCTTGACGTCGTGTCGCTAGTGTGCGGTAAAACGTCCGCGTCGACTCAATAAAAGCAGCAAGTGTGAAGACGGCCGGCAACACACACATATTTAGGACGGGAGAGATACTGCCACAATGCTGGCTGAGCTGGGGGGCTCTCATGATGCTGTAGAAGCATGCTCAGCCCCCCCTCTCCAATTCTGCCCCCTTCGTCCAAAGACTGCTTGTAAACAAGAGACGAACGTAAAAGGCGGCACTCTCTTTGATTCATCTTTGCGAGACTCTTTGTGTCTGTAAGAAAACGTCCGTAGGCCCATCGGAACCTCTAGAGGAAAAGAAAACCTCCAAGACTTATAATAACTTCAACATGGGACCTAGCGAGGAGGATGCTAGAGCGGCCCCATGCAACGGTTCAAACAAAGGTTGACAAGCCTCTGGTCATATTCACATCTCAAAGAAAGGAATCAATCTGTATGTTCAAGTGGTGTAAAGTTTCATATCCATTGTATCCCTCTCCGCTGTCTATCGGCCTCCACACAACTTCTCTCGCAACGTCCCTCCCCAAACCTTGCAACCCCTGTCGTCATAGACCTCCCCAACAACGCGTTCGCCTCAAGCTGCCCCTGCACGGCCAGCCCTATTATCAACTCAACGAAAACGTGCCGCAGAACCCTGACCCAATGCTAAACCCCTGCAACCGCCTTGCGCCGTGCTGCGCTGTACATTATCAAGTTGTATGTTTTTGTTCCTCTCCTTAGAAACAGAAAGTTCTTCGAAAGAAGGTCCCAATCCCCAAGTCGAGAGTTCCATGCCAGTGATTTTATGATGCCCCGAAACGGATCCGGAAAAAAAGAGGACGTCATTGCGCGGGTGAAGAGAAAACCAGAAAGAAAGGCTTGTGTTCGTCATTATCCCGGAATAGCCAGTGATGCTCTGTGCTACTCCGTTGTCGTCATGCGGAAAAAAAGTGTAGCTCGAGGAGGAAAGGAGTCGTCGGAAGGAGATGAAGAATGGTGGACAAAGGGGAGTGGCAGGGGTGCCAAAGTTGTCAACCGCCTCAGGTGTGGCCGCCTGAGATCATTCGTACATCCGTCCGACATCTGGCGTTTGTTTGTCCAGTGGGCAGCTATATAGTAGTAGACGGACAGTTGTCTTTGCTGCCTTGCATGCAACACAACCAAGAACAGAGTCTATGTATCTAACCTGCATTGTTGTTAGTGACTAGGTGGAGAAGATGGATATCGGGATTCACATACCGCAGCAGAGCACCTTCATGAACTTTTGGAAGCCTGTTGGCTGAGGCTCAGCTGGCCGGCCGTTAGGCTGGGCCTGCTGTTGGTTCATCGGTGTTTGCTGAGGGACGTTCTGAGGAAGGTTGCGGTTGCTGTTCTGAAACTGGGCCTGAGTTGAGCCGGTGGGAGTGGCCATGTCCCGGAGACCCCCGGCTCCGCTGCCCCGGTTCGCATTCAATGCGCCGGGGGCGTTTGGCTGACCTCTCGATTTCGCCATCTGCTTGATCGGAGAAGGAGGCGGGGGTTGCGCGGCGTTTAAACGGCCGACAGTAAGGTTCTGTGCTTGGTTGTGGGGGGTCGCAGCACCGCCCCGATGGCCGCTGTGCAGCTCCATCTGGGACGGGCCGGGTCGAGCATTTGGGTTGTGCAGATATCCGGGGTTGTGGCCCTTCATGGCATCCCATCCCTTGCCTGAGTCCTTGGAAATCTTCATCCAGTCGTACTCGCCATCCTCGACCTCGCCGGTGTTCTTCAGGGCCTGTGTGAAGAGCTCGCGGAGGTAGTCGTAGTCGGGGGTATCCTCGAAGCCGAGGTTGCGGACGTACGTCAGGTACTTGTTGAACTCCTCGGGGAAGCCTTCGCAGAGGTCCTTGATGGGGGTCGTCTGCTTCTTCTCGCCAATCTTCTCGTACTTCTGCTTGTTGGTAGCAGCCTTCAGACCCTGCCAGGGAAGGCCGCCGCGGAGGAAGTACATGAAAACGTGACCGAGGGCCTCGAGATCGTCGCGTCGGGATTGCTCGCGGCCCAGATGGGTGTTGATACTCATGTATCTGGCGGTACCGGAAAGGGACTTTCGCTCGCGGTAGGGAATGTGCTGCTTCGTCTTGGGGTCACGGTACTGCTTCGCCATACCGAAATCTACAACGTGAATGACGTTGGCAGCCTTGGTGCCTGGTCTGCCGATCAGGAAGTTATCGGGCTTGATGTCGCGGTAGATGAGGTTCTTCTCGTGGATGGTTTGCACCCTCGAAAGCTGGGTTCTATGGTGAGCGTCCTATTGTCGTCCAGTGCCGTCTTACGTGTCTACGTACCATCTGCTTGGCGACCATAACGACGGTCTTGATCGTGAACCTTCTGCCGCAGTGGTCGAAAAGGTCCTCGAGAGAGGGACCGAGCAAGTCGATAACTAGGATGTTGTGCAGACCCTCCTGTCCGAAGTAGTAGACATTGGGAATGCCGGCTGGGGGGGAATGTCAGCGGTGCGTCGCCGGGCACGTGCGAGAGAGGGGACTCACGGCATCCAACAAGAATCTTGTACGTGCGATACTCATCTCGCAGTTGGGGAGCATCGCTCTTACGCGGCTCCTACAATTAATTGGCGTCAGTCATTTGTTTCTCGGTTATGAGGCCACGGCGAAGCGATTGGCGACGCGGCGGATGATGGAGATGCCTCAGCGACGTACGAATTTGATGGCGACCTGCTGATTGTTCAGGAGGTTGGTGCCCTCGAAAATGACACCAAAGGAACCCTCTCCGATCTTCTTGCCGACGCGGTAGTGTACGCCGACAACGTTGCTCGACGAGGAAGCCATCGCGGTCGGAGGCTTGGTCCTGTTACGGACAGAGTCGAGGGTGTGGCGTCGAGGAGAGTCGGTTCAATCGTGCCGTAGTCGGTGTGGTATCGCTCGATTACGAGGAAAGGGAGGAGAGGTAGGAAAAAAAAATTAAAACCAAAGGCGATATCTGAAGGATGCTTTGAGACGCGGTCAGCTATCTATGAGGGTGTTCGTAAGCCCATTTGGGCCGATTCTTCGGGGGGCGAAATCAGTTCGACGGAATCGGAAGGGGGTGGTGGTGTGTGGTTGTGGTTGCTGGGAGAGAGGTTTTGAGAGGAAGGATGAATGGGGGAGAGAATGGACGGATTTTGGGGCAGAGGGACGGATGGCAGCCGCAGACGAGTGATTATAGTGGGTAATCCGCCCCCGGACCACATGCACTGCACGGGGAGTGCGAAGGGAACGGGATGGGCTGGACCGGGCTGGGCTGCTAGGCTTTTGGGGGTTCAAGGCCTGCTACTGGCAGGATTGGCGTCGGGTGAGTGGTCCACAACCGGCGGTGCAGTGCAAATGGAGCGACGTAGTGGTGCTATGCGACGGGCGGGAACTGGCTGGCAGCTGGGAGCTCCTCAGGTTCGGCGCCCAAACTCGCCCGTTGTTGGCTCGGTGCCGGCCCGGACTTGGCTGGGCACCTGCTGCTTGCTTGCTGCTGGGCGAGCAGAGGCTGCGCTGTGGTGAGGCAAGGTGAGGTGAGGTGGACTGGACTGGGACACACGAATCGCTCGCCAGCTGCCGCGGCCTGAGGCCGAAGCTGAAATCTTTCCAGGGTATGTGATGTGCAGGGAACAGCGGTGCAGGGGGGCAGTTTTGCGTGTGTGTTTGTGCTGAGCGGCAGGAGGAGGGAGGTATCCAAGGCGTTGAATTGTGCTTGTGCAGAGCGCAGCCGGGTGCATCTGCATCTCAGCCTCCCGTCCCTGGTGGTTCTTACTCACCTCGGTGCCTGTTTGATGCCGTCGCTGTCTCTTCCTTGGCCCGAGTGACCTATTTCTGTTTTCTCCGGATGCCGCCGTTTGCTGCTGCTGGTGCCTGGTGCCGATATGCTCCTTTCGAGGAATCGTCCAATCCAATTCCAATATTCCTATTTCCCGTTCGTCACTGGCGGAATGCCTTGTCTCGGGGGACGGAAGGGAGGCGGTGCGAGGGCTGAGTCGTATCTCGCCGTTGTCGGATGGCCGTTGAATCGTCTCCGATCAGGCTTGTCGCGGCGAAGAAGAGCGGTTGGGGGGAAGCCGGAGGGGGGGAAAAGGGAAAGGAAAGAGAGAAAAGGAAGAAAAAAAGGCGGGAGAAAGCAGCTCAAGAGGCAGTTCGTTAGAGGGTGTCGTCAACGGGCCAGATGAAATTACAAGCGACGCCTCAACTTCCCCAAGCCAAAATTGCCATGTATCGTTCACGACGGCCCACACTTCACTTTTCAGTGAGAGAAGGAACTTAGGAAGGGGTGATGGATCAATGGAAGGGGGGTCAGATCAGGTCCGGGTCACTGTCAAGGTCCAGGTCTAGGTCCAGGTCCAGGTCAGAGTCTACGGCGGTACGGTAGGCGGTCCAGGGCCAGGTTTGGGAAAGTGAGAGGCGGCGGCCGGGAAGGCAGGGGCGCGGCAAGAAGAGAGAGCCACGAACGTGCGGGTGGCCGCCGGTGGTTGAACTCTGAAGAGGGGGGATTGGATCTAATTTCAATGGACGAGGGGCCGTCGCGGAATCGCACGGCTGCCCAACTCTTGATCCGTGTCTTTCCATGATTCCCAGTTTCCCAGATTCCCATCCTCGCCGGATTGGACGAGATGGAGGATCAGGATAACTCGCGTCTGGAGTACAACAAATACCACGGCAGCCCCGAGTTCTCAGTTGGCTGCCGCTGGGCTTTGCTGGCTCGGGAGCCCTCCGGACTGTCTTATGCTGAAAATGAGTGTCGCATACGACACTCACATTGGCCGCTGACTGCTGGCCCCGGCTGACTACCTTCCAGTAAGGTACTGCTGGACAACTTGCCCTGGACGTTGCCTTTATGCTACTGGCCTGAGCAGACCATAACATTAACAAGACGAGCCGACACTGACGAGCACAGGCCATCAGATGGCAGCGGCGTCCCACCTCGACAAAGGGGGGAAAAGCATTAGTGCCTGAGGTGCGTACGCAATCATTGGTCAATAGAAGTGAAAGACACCAGGTACGTACCAGACAGGTCCACTCCCGCCAGGAACGTAGCGAATGTACCTTCCCTCTTGGACATGTACCTTGCCTTACCGACTCCTCAAGCGCAGCAGCAACCTGAGGTGAGCAGTGGAAGTGGAAACGTCGTTGCCAAGGACCAAACCAGTAGGTAAAAAAAGAGCAAGGTACCTGTCGTCACCTCCAATTTCCCACCAATTTCGCATGTACCGGAGCCAACTTCTTCTTCGGGTCGCCTACGGCGTCCCCCAGTCGCCCCAATTTTGCAGTACGATCTTCCAGTTAGCTGTCTTCCAACCGCGACGGGACGTCTTGAGTCCCAACTTCTGTTTCTCAACCATTGCTCTGTACAGCATTGGAGTTGTGTACCTCCAAGACCGCTCGCTGCTCCGTCTGCTGCTTGCTCTGGCGCCGTCCGTATCCTCGCCTACGATATGACCTTGCTGAAGAACCCACGCCGTATTCGTCTCGTCTCGTCTCATGAGAAATCTAATTTAAACGCGACTCCCCTTTTTCTGCCTCTCGCCGCTCCCTCTCTCTCCTATTCGAAGATCCGACTTATCTCGAAAGTGCGAAAGTCCAGCGCCCACTGCATCATCGCTCGTCTGATGATTGACTATCCAGCCACCCGCGAGCCGTCCGTCTGACAGGTTCGCAGGTTCTGCTGTGTCTGTCGTGCCTCGTCTGCCAGCCACGGGGAGACAAACGGGACACTGACACCGCTCCAGGCCAGGGTCACTCGCGTTAGGCACTAAGCACCAACAGCGGATAGCCGAAAGACGCGCCAGGGGCCAAGGGGAACTCTGGCCGCGCCTGTCCCGTCCAGGCTGCCGGGTGGAATAAATCACACCGAATTCTTCTGCCGTGGAGCATTGCGGTGCATATCAAGCCAAGCCAAAACAGCACTGGAAGCTCGCGCTAGAAACGACCCTAGAAAATGCACGGCGTATGCCCTGTGCGGGGATCGAGGTCCGCTGACGGCTTAGCGGGTGTCTGCTTCAATGGCTGCATTCCTCGCTTTGTTCCCATGCTCCTGCTAGCCACTCGTTATCCGGTCGACGACCCCTTTCTAGGTACCTTAGGGAGACGGGAAACAGCCAGGAGAACAGACTAGGTATCGAGGGCAAGCCAAACAACATGCACGACGACGCATCAAAAAAGAAAAAAAAAAAAAAAAAAGGGACGTCCGTACAGCCTCGGCGTCCTCCCTCTCAGCCTACGATTACCAGATGTGCCTTACCTCGATGGAAGCACGCAGCAAACATGACATGTCGCCAACAAGGTGACAAGCGCATCTGGCGACAACCGTTCTACTCGACTCGGGCTGAGTTCCGCATACCGAGTTAGCAGAACCGGTTGTCGGCAACTGTGCCACGGTCAGATAAGCTATTGAAGCCTCGCCAGAGCTGGAGCCTGCTCACAGCAGATCCAATAAGGCTGCCTGCGGACGCTAACTCTATGCCTACACTACGGCATCTGCTTGGCATGAACTCTGTACCTCGAGATGCGCAGATGTACAGAGCTCTCAGCATAAATCATCGAAACTCTCATGCTCGGCAACTCAAATGCAGAAAAGCAGTGCGCTAAAACGCCTAGGTCAACCCACCCTGACCACGTTCATCGGTCAACCCTTCACCAGGCCGTCACCTACTCAACGCAACGAACCAAAAAAGTACGCTTCAACGGGGTCCAGAAGAGAAAAAAAAAAACGCAAGATCACCAACGAGAGGAATCCGCCTGCCTGCAGCCGTTGCAGCTGCTGAAGGCGCCGCTGTCCAATGGCCTCGTCTCCTGCAGCAGCTCCTTGCCCATCCCGGTTTGGACCTGCAGCGGCGTCAGAGCCCGGCATGCTAGGTTCCCACCGCCGAGGTGCCGCCCGAGATGCGGTGAAAGCCCGCCCCGTTCCATGTTGACCTCTTTTTTTCTTCTTCTCCTTCTGCAGAGAACAAGTCGGTGGCTGTCAACCAGCTGCCCCCTTCCCCTTGGCAACAGTGCCACGCAGGTTGGTTGGAGATCGCTTGCAACTGTCGTTCGTTACGGCTTGCCCTTCGCGCTGCGGGCTGTCGGACGGCTTCCCACCCGCCCTCCCAACACAACCGAAGAAAGCAGAGCCCATCACCCATCATCCGATGTCCTCTTCCCACCATCCCGTCGAGAGAGGCGTCTTGAGGAGCCACTCATTCAGTCTCCCTCCCGCCCTACGGTTTCACTTCTGCTCCCCCGATCCCCGTCAGCTGGCCCTGCCTCGCCATCGGAGATATTTGCCAGGCTTCAAATGAAACGCTGACCCATCTCCCTACAACTCTCGCGAGTCTCAACCGCACACAGGCCTCCCCGCGTCCCTCCACCAACCCGTCATCCAATCACCAATTCCCGTCTCAAGCCCAACCCGTCCTAATCCATAGCTCTATCGCACTCTGGAAGCTCGTGAACACACACGGGTCGAAGAAGCAGAATGTTGCTAAGAAAACCCATAGCACCATCCTCTCGACGATGTCTAGCGAACACTGAATGTCTCGCTTCCCGTCGTGACCGTAACTTACACGACGAAGCTAACGCCGCACCAATACTCGCCCGTGACGAATCAAGCTCGCTGACAAGACACACTCTTAAAGTTAGCAAGTCATGTCTCAAGAAAGCCAACGAGTCCCGCCGCGGTGAGTAATGCCCGCCCAAGGATAGAGCGCCTTTCATTCTCCTCGGCACGGGCGTAGCTTGGTCTTTCATCCATGTGAATGACGTATCTGCATCTCTGCGCGCGCGCAACGCGTTTCTCATATTTTTTCCGCCTCCCTAACTCAACCCCCCTCTCTCCTCCCAACGGCGGCATGAATCGTGCCTCGTCTTGCCAAAGTTGCCGGATGGTAAAACCGGCGAAAGCGAGGTGGTGGGAGAGGAAAAGGATATGCTTGCAGAGTGAGCATCGGTCCTCCGATTTTTGCCCTGCCGGAATTATCGCACTTCGACCGCGAGAGCGAACACGGCAAACTTTCCCACCCATATCCTCCGTCTCCGTCCGCCGTCTCAGACCTCAACAGAAAACGTGCAAGAAAGCTTTCCAGAAGCTAGCTCCATGTTGTCTGTCTCCCACTCCGCATCCAATCTCTCGAAACATGCCATCTCTGAGAAACACAAGATATATGGACTGGACCCTTAAAGACGTACATCGTTTGGTATAGAAACTTGTTAGACGTAGAACCGACGCCCACTTAATCTGGTCAGAGCTTTCGCTTAGTCGTGGAGAGTCAGAGTCCGAGGGATAGAAGGATGGATAGACCACGCAACAAAACCCACCGCTTCAAAACGTCCTCAGATATAGTAGGTACTATGGCCACGACTTCAAGTCGCAAGCAGATGTCGTCACACGTCAAATGGCCATTAGCAACGTCAGCGTTGAAACATATAACACGCAGACGACGATAATCAAAACCTGGAATGATGTACAAACAGGTTACAGAACTTTTACATCCCAGATCCCGTCAACGAAACGAGGAAAGGTTCTTCTAGATTGAATTACGTGACAAATACCTGTCTCCCATAAACACCAAAAAAGTAGCGCCCGACCCACACTTTTGTTCTCTTGCGCGTTTGCTGTTGATGATATCTGATGTTTCGTTCCTTGTCTTTGTGTGTGTGTTCTTTTTTCTTTCAAAGAAAATAGCGAGAGAGCCTATTGGAAAAAAGAGAGGGAACCCCTCCTTGATAACCCCAACCCATCCCCGCCTCCCATGCCATCCATCCCAATGTCATCATGAATGTGTGTAGTTAAAGTGTACGAAACAAAAAATGTGGCCTCGTGCCGTGGCACCGTGGGGGCGAGACAACCCCAATGAAGCCCTGAAGGCTTTAATACAAACAACCCCAGCATTAGCAAAACAAAGAAATAAGTCTTCCTCGTACGGGATGACATGTGTGGCTAGCTAGCTAGCCTCCTCCCACAACCCGGTACGCGTCTCAGTGGATGCCGTTCGCTTTTCCGTTCGTGTGCTGATCCGGAAGCTCCTCGGTGGCAGCCCGCGTGGCTTCGTCCACGGTTTCCGCAACCAGCGCTTCGGCCGACTCGGCCGTCGTGCGGGTCCATTCCTCCAGACGCGCCTTCTCAATGTACTTGCGCAACACGGAGTCCTCCCACTTCATAGCGTCGAGGAGCTTGTCCCTGTACGACTTTTCCATAATGTCGAAACGAGAGTCCAGGTCCTCGGTGAAGGCGCCGAGCGCGTCCGATGGCCGGAAGGGCTGGAACGGGTGGTCAATTGTCTCTGTTGCATTGTTAGCACGGGAATATGGTCTGTTGAGGCGGTAACACTCACGATGCTGGTAGCAAGAGGCAAATGCGCTGAAGAGTGTTGTGCTTGTGATCTTCTCCTCCACAGCCGAGTCGTCCTTCAATTGAGTGTCATTGATCTTCGTCCAGTCGTCTCGGATGAAGCATCGTCTCCAGATGAGACGTTTGGCCTCCTTCAGCTCCTCTCCATTGAGGCCGTACGAAGCGGCCAGAAGGGCCAGGTAGAAGGGGTCTGCGATCTCAGCAGCGGTCTCAGCCGGAAGGTTGATCAGTGTAAGCAGATCGATGAGAGACAGAGCATCGAGCGCCTCATGCCTAACGAGTCGGCGCATGCTGTTCTCAAAGACTTGGATCAGAGCCTTCTGCTTCTTGGGAATCTGCACACAATGGTTCTCCATCGCAAGCTGGACCTCGGCCGTCTCGTCGACAGCCGTTTGAATTGAAGGGAAGACCTGCGCATACAGCTGGTCCTGAATCCTAATCAGCCCAAGTTGGTTGTCGATGGTATCCAGCTTCTCGTCGTTCTTGGGTTCTTTGATATCGCTGCTGGCTGCTCGCTTGAGTCCGAAGAGGTCGGGAGTTGAGGGCTCTGGAGACTCAGCCATCAGCGCAAGCTTGCCAAGACTGAGCTCAATCTTCTTGTTCCAGACTTGTTGCTCGCGGGTCAGGCCGAGGTTAAGTAGAGTCTCCGCAGCATGGTCGATGTCGTCCTCGCCTTGGACGTCGTTGATCCAAGATATTCTGGCGAGCTCAGGCTTTTGGCGGAGGAACTTCGTCCTGTACGCATGGTTGTCGTACTGGAAGTCGAGGACTGCCTGAACGCCGGCACCGTCCAACAAAATCTCGTACATAGGAAAAGCGAAGGCCTCTCCGTACTTATCGAAGTATTGGCCAATCTGCTTTTCCCTCGCCTCGGCCTTGTTGGTGAGTTCGCGAGCCTCGACTTGTGATCGCGAAATAGTAGCCTCTGTCCTAAGAGAATTGATTTGCTCGATCATAGCCAAAGCAAGGGCCCTCCAACAGCGGTGCTTCTCGGCAATGTTGATGCTCTCGTCCCACTTGCCAAGTCGCAAAAGTGAAAGCACCTTGTCGTTACGATCGGAATCGTAAAGCTTCGACAAGTGTTCCGACCATTTCTGCGTCTTGGCGTCGAGTTGAGCGGAATTCCACCGAGAAGCCTCGAGCAGAGACACCAAGTACTGGTCGGTCAGATTGGAAATCTCCTTGTTGATCTTCTCAAGCAGAGCAGGGTCCGGTTGCTTAGACTTGTCCTTGGTCTTTTCCTTCGGGGGGTAGTACTGGTCAAGCCACGTGTGACTCAACTCAAGCAACCGCTTGAGGTTATTTGTGATATAGTGGCAGCCGGTCCATGGCTCGGAAAGGCCTTCGTAATTGTCACGAAGGATGCCGAGGTCCAGCTCCTCATCCTCAAGTCCGTAGAAAGCCAGCCTTTCTTGTCGGTAGTTCAAAGCCGTCATGAGCGCCACCAAGTTGACCTGCTGAGCCTCGTACATGAGACGAGTGATGCGAACATCGTCCATCAGATGATCCTTGTACATGTACTTGATCACTTCATATGCCCAAGCGATGAAGATCTCTAGCCTGCCCACGTCGTGAATGAACCAGTGTCTCACGCGGTCAAGCTCTCCAACGTTCCGGTTGGGGGTCGTCTTGTCGTCTTGGTGGATGAACTCAACGATTTCTGCGACCAAATCCTTCTTATCGTTTGCAGGTCGTTCATTCGTAAAAACCTCGTGCTTCTTCCAGATAATAGTGGCGACCATCATCTTCTCAGCGTGAGAAAGCAAAAGCCATCGGGTCCGCCTGTCCAAGTTGACCTTCATGTGCTTCAGATGAGCCATCAAGCGTTCCAGGGCGATTACGCGGTTGCTGAGATTGTCTTCCAGAGATGCTGGTACCGTCGAGATGTGCGGTGTTGATGAGCTCATAATCTCATGGCTCAACTGTACTGCAGCTTCCGCCATTTCGTTGTCTGAGAACTGAACTCCTTTCCTTCCATCGAAAACCAACGGGGTATCTGTCTTGTTGCCGAAGAAAACGGCTTGCTCTAGCTTGCTCTTCGGTGTGACTTTCGGGGGCTTGTCGCTGCCGAATCTGTCTATGTCTGTTGTCATCAACCGCACGACGCCTGTACCACGCACGATGAGAACGACTGATGGGTTCTTGGTTTTTTGGCGCTGACTTCTTGGTTCTTCGCTGCCGTTCTGAGGCTCTTCAAAGCCCGAACCGAGAATCTCTGACTGGTTGTTGTCGGAGAGGTTGATCACATCTTCATACGTAGGAGGAATGATGTGATTATCCTCTTGGAGCTGCGAGTCGGGTGACTCCGGGGGAACACCAATTGACGCGACCACAACTGCCTTGTCGAACACAACGAAAGCAACCAGAGCGGGCCGGGGAAGATACAGGCGAGGTCTCGCGGCCTGCAGTGGGTTCGCCGGGCTGTAGCGGACCTTGTATGAGGTGATGGGCCGGACCATACCAACCTGCGCTGAGGAGGGCGACAGGATGACTTCAACCAGAGAGTAGTGCGACTCTTTCTTCTTTGTAAGACTGACAAGCAAGACGAGGTGCTGCAAGTTGATGTCGTCTGAGGCCATGGCATTGCTGAGCCTGCTCATGTCCCGGTACTTGGCGTCTAAGCCCTTTGGCACAAACGCAAGGTCGACAACCTCGAATGTGTCGTGGTGGAATTCTCCGCTCGACGGATCAACTTCGCGAATAGCGTCGATGATCTCTTCTTGCATGTCCGCCTCAACAATCGTGTCGTGGTGTCCTCCGCGGTGGATCCTCCATGCGTGCAGCCTCCCCTTGAGAGTAGCAGCAACAACATTGCGTTCGCCGACGCGAGTGGTGCGTTCTGCTCGTACGGCGGCAATATCCCCGCGGCCAGCGGTGTGCGTAAGAGCATGGCGAATGCTTCCGAGAAGTCCTCCGGCCGCGGGTCCCAGGCTCGTGCGGAGGAATTGGACCGAAATCGTGGGTCGGCCGTGTCCGTCGCGAACGCTCATGTACGCCAGCCTGCCGCTCGTAAAGGCAAGGACGAACCCGGCGGACTCGGCGTTGGTGATCTGAATGACTCTCTCGCCCGAGTACATGCCAGATATTGATCCCTCCACACCATGTCGTTGTTGGCGGATGAAATCCAGGGTTGCCGCGCTCGAGATGGACTCCCAGTACGCAATTTTTCCACTCACGGGCATGACAACCACCAAGCCCGGCTCTGTAGAGGAAGCTGACGGCGACACGAGACAGCCCAATGGAAGAGGTTCTGAAGTGTGCTTCGAGGGATATGGGAGAGTGAAGGTGAATGTCTCGGGGGATTGGGTAGGGTTCGTGTATGGCCAGACGATGGCGTGTGTATGGGTCAAGCTAAGGGCGTATCCGTTCGAGAAAACATCGCCATGTTGCTGAGCTTCACGGAGGGTTAGGTGGGAATGGGCGCGTAAATTGTAGAGAACGTACCTGAAGCATCCGCACGGATGCGGTCTGGAAGCGCAGGGAGTTTGCTCACGGTGTAGGCGTTATTCGTCGTCTGGAAAATTGTTAGCAGCCGTCGAGGACGCAATGCGACCGAGGTGAGACCTACCAAAACAACGCTTCCATCACCCTTGGTAGGTCTTTCGCCGCCCTTGGGCTTTTTCGCGCGCACGCTGAGCTCCTTCCTCGGCGTGGGCGTGATGGGGTGGTGGTTTTCGATGCCGTCTTGCCGCACGTCGAGCGTCGCAACTTTGTCGGACTTGACCTCGTACATCTCCGGGGCAGGCGCGTTCGATACATCGGGGTTGGTGAAGGTCTGTTCGGTCAGAGGGAGACGCTGGCGCTTGGCCTTGGGTTGTTGAGCGAGGCTCTCATTACTGACGGGCCGCTGGCGTCTTCTGCTTCGCGTGGCGGTGGCAGGGCCGCCTTCGCTCGCGGAGGGAGAAAACATGGTGATGTTTCGAGCGACCGGGCGCGAAGGGGGTGGTGCTATTCGGGGTCGCCGTGGAGGGTGATGATGTTCGATTCGGTTGATGGAGGACGATCAGAAAAACATTTCGAGGATGAATTCTGCGGCCTAAGGTACTGTTAGGGAAAGCGGAGTGCCAGGGACGTAGGTGGCAGACTCCAAAGCGGATTTAGCAAATATGTGAGAGTGACGAAGCATCAATCGATTGGGTCTTGTCGAAAAAAACACAAGGTTGCTGCATCTGCCAAGCACGGACCACCAGCACCAGCTCTGGGTGGTGCTAAGAGTAGGTAGCTCACCTCTCACCTCTCACTCACCTCACTGAAGTCGGGAGCGGTTTGTCAGGCCTCATTGGCTCCAGGCGGCTCCAAGTGGCTCCAGTGGTGCGGCGTGCAGGCTCTCTGCAGCTGTGCAGCCGTGCCAGCTAAGGCGGCGGAAGGGGCACCAGGAGCACTGAGATACTTCCAGCGCGTTGGTCCCGGTTCCGGTACGTACCTGCTTTGGCGTGGTGCGTCTGGCCTGATGAATGTCTCTGATTGGCCGACTCCGCGATCGTACTGGAGCCTGCTGAATCGCCGCATTGGAAGAAAATAGGGACCCTTAGTGGAGCCATGGAAACCAAGTCAACAACGTCACTCCCAGTGTCGGCCCTCGGGAACTGACGGCGGGACACTGGCCGCAGATAGAACCATTCTGATGTCTGGATACAAAAGGAAATATCTACCAACTCAGACTCTCTATCTTTCCCCCAGGGTCTGAGGCATACAGTTTAACAGCTCAAATAACCCTTGCTCAAGTAACGGAAACCTTGAGACTACGAGTGTCAGTCGATGTCAATCTCATCGTCATCCTGCCCCATCTACGCCTCTGTGGAACATTCCGCCCGAAGTCTGTTGACTCGCAACCAACTCACAATCTCCGGGGAATGCTTCTGGTGAGAGCCCTACTTATGCTATCCATGGTTCAACGAAGCCAATGAGCAACCCGATTTTTCGCACCATTTCGAAAAAAGTCAGACGGGACTTACATGCGAACTGGCTCGGTCCTGTTGTCAACCGGAGGTATATCGCCGATCAACCTGAGCTGCCAGGATGCTAAGAGAAGGACTCACAGCTGATTTCATATTTCTTTGGATCAGGCCATCAGTGTAGTAAACGGGTTACACTTGGCCTAGATCGCCATAAGTGGACTTCCAAGGTAGTCTGCACATTTGGTTTCCTCTAAAACTTAGTCCCGAGCTGGGGATTTGGAGCCGAGCTGTCCTCCGACTTCAATTTCCTAAGTTCCTAGAACTTCACAAAAGGCAGGCGACGTATATGCCTTCATACTGGCCAGTGATATTGCACGGGACACGCGCCAGTAGCTTTAACTAGCTCTTTCACGCCGCAGTATCCTTTATGCGGCTTGTACAGCCTTTCTTTTTAGCTTTCGTTTCTTTATCAACACAACCATCAACGACGATGACGATGATAACGAGGAAACTAAGACTCAACTCGGCCAAGGTGGCCCTCGTGGGTCGCCAGTACTCAACTGCCATGGCCATCACCGACCCGCTCGTCAAATACCGCACCCTCATCTCAACCAAACTTCTCGCCCCAGACCCCTCTCAACACCGGCTGGCTATCCATCTCCAAAAACTATATACCCGTTTGAAAGACTACGCCCCGGAAGAGGACTATCGGGAGCGCCTGAAGCAAGTCGCCGACATCCCCGAGGCTCATGACCCCGAAGAGGCCGCTGCAAGATTGGCCATGCCAAACCATCCCATATGGGATAACCCGCTATTCAAGCATGTGTCAAAGAAAATCATGCCCGAGGCGAAAGATCCCAACCCGATGGCTCTCGTCAGAGTCATGACCAGCCTCGAGGGCGCCATCACCATCAACTCCCCCAGGGGCCTCTTCCTCTCAGGCGAAGTCGGTGTCGGCAAGTCGATGTTGATAGATCTGCTGGCCCAAGGCCTGCCGACAGAGAAGAAGAGGCGGTGGCACTTCAACACGTTCATGCTCTACACATTCTCACAGCTCGAGAAGTTCCGCCGGTCTCACCCAGAGCTGAGCGGCAACGAAAAGGAGTACTCCATGCTCTGGCTCGCCAAGAAACTTGTTGAGGAGTCCCCGATCCTGTTCCTAGATGAGTTTCAGCTTCCGGACAGGGCAGCAAGTAAGATCCTGTCCCACCTGTTCATAGCCTTCTTCCACCTCGGCGGGGTCCTCATCGCATCATCCAACCGCATGCCTGAGGAGCTACAGAAGGCTATCGGTGTCGAGTATACTGTTCCTCCGTCAGACGGGTTCCTGAAGAGTCTCTTTCTTGGTGGCGCGCGATCCAAGGCTACTCTCCACAGTCAAAACGACTTTGCAGCTTTTCTGGAAGTGTTGAAGGCGCGATGCGACTTTTGGCACATGGAAGGGGCAACGGACTTTAGACGTCGAGAAACTGGTGAGACTATCGCAGTCGAGGCCCCTGTAGCTGGCTTTATAGGCGGGGAGGAGCTGGCCAAGAAGGAGCCCAAAGACGGTATGTTACCTTTAAAGGCCTTGAATTATCTGTTTCCGAGCATACGATCCCCCTTTCATTCAACCCAATACCCACTCACCTCAGTACTTTACTCGAACTTGCACCAATGCGTCCTATCTTAGTCAAGTTACCAGACTAACATCACTAGAAACATCAACACCTTCCAAGTACTTCCTGCTCACGGCCGACACAACCCCTTGGACAACCGCCCTAGCCCAGCACCTCTCCCACCCCTGGTCCTCAGCAACGCTGACAGTCTACGGCCGCACAATCCCCATCCCCCGCCAATACGGCGGCGTAGTCTACTGGGACTTTGACGCCCTCGTCGCTACCCTCGGCCCGGCCGACTACGTAACCATGGCCTCGACCTACCACACCTTCATCATCGACAACGTCCCCACCCTCACGGCCCTGCAAAAGAACGAAGCTCGCCGCTTCATCACGCTCCTGGACGCCCTCTACGAAGCAAGGTGCAAGTTGTTCGTCCGCGCCCAAACGGGGCCCGACGATCTCTTCTTCCCAGACATCCGCGCTCAGGAGGAAGCTGTGGCGGCTGCTGCCGCTGCTGGGGAGGAGGTCGTCGACTCTGACGCGATCCACTCTGAGACGATCGCCGAGGTTTACCAGGACTCTGCGGCGCCGTTCAGACCCAACATCTCCTTCTACGACACGGAACTCCCGACGGCCAAGTATGACCCCGACCAAGACTCCGACTTTGGCAAGCTGGGTCACGTTGGTAGCGGCGGCGGGAGCCCCAACTTCAGCAACACGGCAGCATTTACGGGTGAAGACGAGCGGTTCGCGTACCGTCGTGCGGCAAGCAGGCTGTGGGAGCTGTGTAGCGAGGCATGGCATGCTCGAGGAGGTTCACCTGGGGAGTGGTGGACTCCTGTGCCCCGGGCATCGCGGCACTGGGAGAACTCCTTGCCATCCAAACCCAAGAAGGACGAGCCTCTGCCGCCGCGCGCCAGACAGGCGGATGCCATGATGGGTCCGTCGAGGCCTGTTGATGGACCGTTCGGTACCGACAAGCTCGTGATCGAAAGACGAGAAGCTCTGGAGGAGGCGGAGCGCAGGGTCGAGCAGTCCAGTGGGAGGTGAAGTTTTTGGTTGTTTGGAATATCCATGTAGATCCGATTTAGGATAGCATATACCGGCGCGTAGCATAGCATTTTGGCGACGCTGGGCCCACGCACGCGCCCGTCGCATCGGGCGATATAAACCTTTGAGTCTCGTGATAGATACCTTACAACCCCGCCAGGAGAACCTGGCCCGACAATTTAGACTCGCAATTCGATTTACATTACCTCCCATCTCAGAAACGCCATAAACTCCTCGTTCTGGAAGCTTTCCAGCCGCCTCACAGCGTCGTGACGCCAGGCGTCCATGCCTCACCAATCCTCCGTACATCCCCCTCAAACTTCTTGCTCTTAATCACCCTGCCCCCGCGTCCAGACACCGGCGAGTGTTCGTCGGGCTCGTAAAAGGGGTTCTGCAGCAACCTGACGTAGGTGCTCTGCACCGCCCTGAACACGACCCGCAACTCCTGCTCACGAAGCCCGACAGCTCCCCGTCCTTTGGCAGAAGCCGCAGCAGCGTCGCCGCCGCCGCCGACCCTCCGCCCGCGCATATCCACGACGACGACGATCTTGACGCCCGTGTTCGTTTCCCAGCCGTACGCGGCGAGCCGCTCGTCAACCGCGTGGAGGAGGCCGACCTCGCCTGAGAGACCGGAGGCCCCGCTGGGAGCACCTGCCGCGTTGGGCCCGCTTGCGTTGTGTCGTAATTCAAAGATATCTAAGGTCGAGGAGAGGAGGAGGGAGAACTGGAGGGGCGTGCGGATCGGTGCGAAGGTGTTTGTTGACGGGTTGTACGACGGGAATATGGAGATGTGGAGGGGGTTGTTCTGTTGCTCTCGTCAGCAAGTGTCGTCCTTGCCAAAGAGCTCCAGCCAAGGATGCGTAGTTTGAGGAAGAGCTCTGGAGCATGCGGAGGGTGCGGTCTGTCTGCGGGTTGGACGTACGTTGCGGCCGATGATGCCTATGCAGGCTATTGAGGGGATCGCGGTCGCCATAGCCACATTCGCTGTGCTTCCTTGCGCTGTGCTGGTTCGGTTGGCGCTGAATTTGCGGCGGAAGATGCGCAATGCGGTTGATGGACACGGTATGGTAGAGGTCGAACGTCGTCGCAGAGGAGGGTTGGAGATTGGAGAGCTGGGGTAGGTACCTTAGCTGTGGTGTGGCCGGGAGCTTAATTGATTCTTGGGTCCCCCGAGTGCCCCGCATCGATGTCAGGGGTCGCTGCACCGTGAGAGGAAAGGCAACGAATCTTCAACGGCTGCCGCTGCGGTCCTAGCACTCGGAGCATTGTCAATATTAACAAAATGGCTTTTGGTGGTCAAATATGTGTTTTGCAGCAGTCAGCATGTTGCAGACTTTCTGGTAAAATAGAGTTACACATTGTAAAGAAAAATCCATTACTCCAGTAACCATCATACAAGCTGGTAAAGATGGACCATGAGACGAGCTCTCGCGCTCGTGCTTGGTAACGAAAGCGCCAGACCAATGAACCCCATATTCCGCATAAAGACATTACAGATCTCATTCGGCATCGTCGTCCGACCAATGCTCCGTATCCTCGAGTCCCTTCAGCACTTCTTCGATCTCGTTCGGATCGGTGATGGCCCATACGCCACCGCCTTTGACCGAGTCCTTCCCTCTCATGCCCACCTCCTTTCCGACAAGGTTCCGTCCGACCTTGCCGGGCCCGATACCAATCCACCGCCTCACTTTCTCCTCCTGGTCGAGATATTTGATACTGTCCCACCACCTCACCGTCTCTAGGCACTGCCGCGCTAGGAGATCCTTCACGTCCTCCTTGCTCTCGAACGGCCTCGCGCTGACATTGCTTATACAGGGCAACTTGCCCGGGAATGTGATGATATCCTCCCCTTCACGCCCCTTGACCCTGCTCTTCCTGTTTAGAATATTTTTCACAACCGAGACCGCAGGCTTCATGATCGGGCTGTGAAACGGACTGTCGCTGTTCAACCGCACAGCGCGTGGGTCATGCCCCAAGAACTGCCTGACGTGTGTCGCAAGAGTCTTGATCCGCTCAATGTTGCCGCTCAACACGATTTGGTTCTTGCTGTTGATGTTCGCAATGAGCACCTGCTCTATCGGCGGGACGTCTTCCGAGCTCTCCCCCTTGGATCCCGCGCTCGAGTGTCCCACAAAGTCGTGTATAGCCTCGATCAGGCCCTTCAAGTACTCCGGTTCTGTTACAATAGCCACCATGCCGTACTCTCCGCCGTATTCGTCCACAGCGCGCCTTGTCGCTTCATGCATGGCCTCGGCCCGCTTGCGCACCAGATATAAGCTGTCTTCGAACTCGAGGTATCCGCCCGCCACCAGCGCCGCGAATTCTCCTAGCGAATGCCCAAGAGTGACGTCGACTCGCTGTGGGATGTCGAAGCCAAACTCGCGCTCCAGGATGCGGAGGATGAGAATCGAGGTCGCCATGATGGCGGGCTGGGCGTTGGGAGTCTTCGTAAGCAGCTTGCCGGGCCCGTTGGCGATGATGTCGGAGAGCTTGTAGCCCATGTAGTGATCAATCTCCTCCAAGATGGGCTTCGCCGTCGTGGGGAAGGCTTCGAGCCATGGTGTGATCATGCCGACCTTCTGTACTCCTTGGCCTGCGCGGTGTAACGTCAGCTCATCCGTCGCCAGCAAAGACGAGTTCGCCCCTCTTTCCGTTCCCCTCCTCGCTTCATGTCCACTGACCTGGAAAGAACAGCGCCGTCCGCGGCCGCTTCCCTTGCGTCGAGGCATGCCGCCGACTACTCCTAGAAGCAATGTCTATCGTATGTGTCGTCGTCGCACTACATCTTCTGCCGAGGCAGCCGAGCCCATCAGCCCATATGCGTTGGCCGCCTCGGCGGAGGGAGTGAGCTCCGGGAGCTGTCATGGCCAGTGGCGCCAGCCGATTACAAGCTGGGGGAGCTAGATTATCGCGAACATGAGCTTATGTCGACAACTCCCATGCGAATTTTGAAGCAAGCACAAAGAGCCTAGAAAGGACTAAGAGGGAGAGAAGTAGGAGAGGGAACAAAAAAGTAGACGAGTCTCAAGTTTGCGCGAACCAGACCGTCAAATGTGTCACACAGCCAACCTAAGCCACGGGCGGCATAGGGAACGTGGTAGTGGCGTTCAATGCCATGACGCCAGATGGAATTGGCGGATGCTCCAAGTGGCCGCCCCTAACCGAAGTCCCGAGGCCGATGGACCTCTCGCTGGAGTACCCCGCGATTGCACGCTGAAGACGACCTCTTACAGCGCGTTTTCTGGGTTCCGCTGCGCCGGGCGGGGCACGTCAGCAGATGCTCAGCAGATCATTTCAGGGACCAGGGGGGGCCGATGCGATGGAGATCTGTAGATTCCTTGTTGGATGCCGAGTCTCGAAGAGTCATAGCTCTTCGATTGAGGCACCCGACATTGAAGCACATGGCTAGAATGCGTCAGAAGCAACAGCAGTGTCAATCACCGTTGCCATCTTGATATGTCTTCTACCTTAGTGCCCGACTAGCCGTTAAGCTACCAGAGTCATTGATCGAGAAGCATGTGAAATAACCAATGTTTTTCAACTCTAAGTCATTATTTTCGCCTGACCCTGCCGACTAACATCGCGTTTCTACACCGCCCTTGCTGACGGTCAAGTACTTGACTCCTTTGTATGGTTTAACACCCTCTCCCAGGCCTTTGCTCTTGCGAGGGTCAATCAAAATGCTTTCCACTTTAAGGCCACTCGGTAGCCAACCCTTCACTGAGAAGCTCACCGAGGCTGAGCTGGGCATCAGCATCTTATTTTGCGCCACTTTCTTCGCGTCTTTCTCGTCGTCAGCCTTTTCCGTCGTCTTCTTTGCCCTGACGGGGCTTGTTGCTTGATAGGGTTCATCGTAGGCATACGACTTCCCGAATCCGAATCCAGTAGGGTCCAGCTCATCGTCCTCATCGTCAGGCAGCTGGCCAACAACTGTACACCTAAGACCGAAGTAAGAAGTGCCGACTGACAGCTCCTTTGTAGGAATGTGCCACTCCAGAACCTTCTCACCAGGACTGAAGCTCGCGTCTCCCTTGCTAGGCCGCAATTCCGGGAGGTTTCTAACCTCAGCTGGCAACGGCACCGTAACGATGAGATCTTCCATCAGCGGCGACGCAGGTGTTCCAGCATGGGGACCTCCGAATCCTCGACCTGCCCCGCCTCCGCCTCTGCCATACTGGCTTTGTGCAGACGGACCTCCTGTGCCTAGAACCTTGTTCACGTGAAGTCGAACCTCGAAATCAGAACCTGTCGGTCCTAGTCCAGTTTTCATCTCAATGTTGACAGGCAACTTCAGATTATTTGAACTGATGTTGCCACTCTTGCCGCTTGTGAACGGGAGCAAGTCGACTTCGTAGCTAGCCAAGATGAACCGGCCGTCTGGGGGTATGAAGCTCAGCTCCCCTGGCCTCTCTTTCCATCTTGCCAGACGAACACATGGGTGGAACACAGGGAGGTCCATAAAACCCGCCAAGTTGTGTTTGCCCGATGGACTTGTTAATGTCATGACGATGTCAGGTACGCCTGACACCTTACAGGTGAATGCTATCGTTCCATTGGAAAAAGCCGCCAATGGTCTCCCCGAAGGAGCAAGTGTGACTGTAAGAGTCTCGACGATATCTGCGTACATCTCGTTGGAGGTATGTCGTACATTGGCTCGACGCCAGGGTAAGGCCGGAGTGTTTTGTGCAATTATCGACGGTGCGGTCGAGTTCGAGAAGCTTGTGCCAAAGTTTCCAGGCTTCCTGCTCAGATTGTCAGATGCGGCTCGTCTTGAGCTCTTGAAAGTATCTCTTACCCTGGTAAATTGATGCTCCCCAACAGCTTTCCTACCCAGCCCTCAACCTCGACCAAATCCCTCAGCGCATTTGGTTCCGTGGTGTTGATGTTGCCGGCATCGCACATCTCGTTCAAAAGCTGCGCTACTACATCGTAGTTGCTCTCAATCTTGTGCGCCAGCAAGGGAGCACCAAGGAACTCTTCAAACACATCGATTATGCGGTGTATGAACTCGAGGACGAGGAGAGGCTCGATATCGGACGAGGAAGTCGCCAGGAAGAGGAGGTTGGCGTGCTTGAGGCTGAAGACGAGCGTCGGAGGACTTGTGTTTGGCAGGTATAATACGTTCGGGCGCGGCGCAGGATGCTCTAGGTAGAGGGGTAGGAGATGCTGTGCCGACAGCGGGCGCCCCGTGTACGTGTGCGACAGGATGGCATGGCTGCGCGGTGTCAGTATATCTCACTGAACGGGCCGACCTCAAGAGATGACTGACTTGTGCTCATCGTAGATGTGCAGCGCCTCAATAACGCCGTTCATCGTCAGGTCGGCATCGGAGGCTGCGCCGTGTAGTTGATAAGTGTGTGGGGGGAGGTTCTGGCTCTCCCTCTTGGTGACAGTCGGTGCTTGGCCGCTGGCGGGAGCTCCAGCTGCCAGGAACCACCGTCCCGCCATGGCGCACATGCTCGATGATGAAATTAAATGTTAGTGCAAGGGAGCGGCTCCTCCCAGCCAATCACGCGCCACGCAACCCTGCTTCCATCTCAAGCTCCCCGGATTGTACGGTGCATCGGAGCCTTTGGTCGCAAAAACACCTGACGATCTTCCAAACCTCTTGGGGCAGTTCAAGCACCACACAACAGCCATGTTTGGAGGAGGAGACAAAGTCCCCAACGTGGGCACCCTCGACAAGCCCGAGAAGCTTGACGATCTCCTGCGCGAGGACCGCGGCGATGATTGCATGTCCTGCAGAGTTGTCGGTAAGAGCAAAGCGTTCCCATGCCGTTGTAGGCGGCAAAATACTAATGTTATTGCATTCAGGAAGCGGTGCATTTCTCGGTCTTGCAGCCTACAACTACATGTCCGGAATGAGCCAACTCGAAAAGAACCGTCCGTTAATCCTCAAGTCCAAGTCCAAGTTCGGTATGCAGAGTCGCAAGATGGGCATTATCAGCATCTCCATCGGCTTGACATACTTGGGAATCTGGAGATTCTTCAGATAATGAGATGTAGGCCAATAAGGCACTTGGAAGCTTTAATCACCACTCAACCCATACACACACACACGAGAAGGACTCGTCGGCAGGATCAGAAGAGACGTTGCGGAGGTCAACCCAGGGCCGTCGCATCGACAGCCAGCTGTAGTGCGCAACACGAGACGCCAAGGGAGCAGTCATGCCGCCGGTTGGGGCAGATATTTCCCTCCCATGCGATTGCAGGGACTGTTCATGCCTCTCGCCATCTGTGCAGCGAGCAGATGTTGTATGCATGCGCTCAAAAGCTGCGACAGAGCTGTACCATATACCCATGTATGAATGAAGAACTCTAGCTTGTAATCAATTCAGTAAAAGAAAACAATTCATTCTATGCACCTGGACGGGACTTTTTCTGTTGTTGGGTTGCCAAAATGCAGTGGCTCGGCGACGGTCCATCAACCGCATGCTCTGATCTGCCCCTCCATAGCTTCACCAAAAATTCTTTGCACCTCAATGTCAACCACGCAACACCACCACAATACCCCACGAAACCCAGCCAACTTTGCGATTGGCGCCTAAAGTCGAGAGAAACGAGCTCAAAATTTCCCGCCAATCCAAATTTCGCCTGGAACCGACTGAGTTCTAGCATTACCGTCCCGTTCCGTCCTCCTACGGTCTCGTCGCCGTCCTCTCTTCAGAATGCCCATCACAATCCTCGCCCCGAGAGGCACACCGGCACGGCCAAAGCTCGCACAACGCCCCAGCGACTCCGACTCAGATTCCGATGGCGGCGTCGACATTGAGGGCGATGTCTCCATGTCTCGCCCAGCGAAGCGCCCCCGCGGCGACAACTACGAGATCGTCACGCCCGGTGAAGTCATCACCGACGACCCCCAGTGGATGAGGTTCGTGCAGCGCCGCCTCCCCTGCCCCGTTCCTCTTTCTACTGTACCGGTGCACTTCTGAAGAGACATGTAATCTGACTTCCCACGCAGAGGCCACGGCACCTACGTCACACCGAGCACCACCGAAATCGTCTCCTCCGTCGCGGGAACCGTAACCCGCACCAACAAGCTCCTCTCCGTCCGGCCCCTGCGCGCCCGCTACACCCCCGAGATCGGTGACCTCGTCGTCGGCCGCATAGTCGAGGTCCAGGCCAAGCGCTGGCGCGTGGACGTCGGCTCCTCGCAGCTCGCCATCCTCCAGATCTCCGCCATCAACCTACCCGGCGGCATCCTCCGCAAGCGCACCGACACGGACGAGCTCCAGATCCGCTCCTTTTTCGCCGAGGGCGACCTCGTCGTCGCGGAGGTCCAGCAGCTGCATCAGGACGGCGCGGCGAGCTTGCACACCCGTTCCCTGAAGTATGGCAAGCTGCGCAACGGCGTCTTCTGCGCGGTCACTGGCACCGGGGGCGGCGGCGGTGTGGTGCGTGCCAAGAGGCAGCAGTGGGTGATGGACGCGGCGAGGGGCGCGGCAAAGGTTCACGTCACGCTCGGCGTCAACGGTTTCATCTGGATTGCGAAGCATGTCGAGAGCGAGATGCCCGAGTCAGTCGGGCTGAACCGCATGGAGGAGAGCGTGAGCGCCAACGTCTACTCGAGCCAGAACGACCAGATCGATGTCGAGACCATGCGGGAGATTGCGCGTATACGGAGTGTAATTTTGGCGCTGGTGGAGAACGGCCTGCGCGTTGACGAAGATTTGGTAGTCAGGGGCTACAAGGAGGCTGTCGAGATTGGAATGGAGAGCGTCGAGGACGACATCTACCTTGGAGGCGAAAGGGGGAAGAGGCTTGCAGAGGCCTTGCTGAAGGAGTAAGCATATCACTTGGCTACGTTGGGGACGTTCGAGAACCAGGAATAGATCATGTTCGTGGAAAATGTCTTGAGACCAAGACTCTAATAGACAAGAAGGGTTCAGTGTAACCACCAAGAAAAACCCAGAGTCCGCCAGACACAGGAACGCTATGCAGTATTTATCTATAGGCCATATTGTTCGGCCATGGTATCATTAATCCCAACAGCACGACAAGAAGGAGCCTCTCAGGAGGTCTCTACGAGCTCCGCGCCAGCGAAATATCCCTTGTTCTCGATTACGCCTCGGTCCTTGACGAAAGCCGTGTACTTGACCACCCATTCCGGCACGAGGTCGCCGTACAGGCCCTCGCCGCCTTCAAGAGGGTCAGCGAGGACGCCAGCGCCCTGCAGTCCGTGACCCAGAAGCTCGCGAAGGGTGCCGCTAGGCAAAATGTCGGTGCAGTCGGTGTGGACAAGCAATTCGACGCCCTCTGTCTTGGCCAGCTTGACGAGAGTGGGCGGCACGCTACAGCAGTCCTTGGTGTTGATCTGGTCAACGGCGGGACGGATGTCAACCTTTTTGATGAACTTTGCAAGCTTCTCGGTGCCGAATTCAGAGATGCCGAGGGCCTTGACCTCACCGCGGCGGTACAGATCCTCGAGTACCGTCCACGTCGCGGCCTCCTGGTCGATGTTGCCTTGGCTGGCGTTGCGCTTGTCAGCCTCCCACTCACAATCTCCCTCGAAGGACATTCCCGGGAATGAGGCGATCAGAAGATCTATCGTGGTGACGCCGAGTTCCTTCCGGACGAGGTCCAGCGCCTCCTGCACGTAGCGCTCGCGTTCTTCAGCAGGCGCGTTTGGGAGGAAGAAGAGCTTGACAGTGATATCGTAATTTGTCGGCTCCTCTTGCAGACCAGAGTAGGACCAGTCTATCCGTGGAATGTAGAGGGCACCGTCTTCGCGAGCGGTCCAGATATCGAGGCGGGGCCGGCCAGAACGACCGTTCTCGCCGTTGGAGTAGCCATTCGAGTTTCCGTTCAAGGTTCCGTCGGCCTCGTCATCGTCGATGGGGGATGCCTCCGAGTAGGGCGAGTAGTCCTGCTGAGCAGCGAGAAAGTTGCTTCGCAGCGAGTTGGTGAGTTCGAGGTTTGATCTGTATGCGCCTGGTTTGCGGATTATGGAGGGGCCGCCCGAGACAATGTTTCTGCACGCGGCAGAGGATCACCAATCAGCTTCAGGGCGCAAGTATGAATAATCAAAGAAAAATTGGGAAAATGCAACGCACCCCGTGGATAGGATTAGTTTCGTCATGACGGGCGGGTAATTATGGAGGTCGTAGAATATTCGTAGGGAGACGTGAGGTTGAATTTGGCTCTGGGAACTGGTCGATCGGAGCAGATTGCGTCGTGAAGGGTCCTTATCGCGCAATATGATGGTGTCGATTTGACGTCTGTCGCACTTTTTTCTGGGTGCCGTACTTTTTTTTAGAGTTTGGAGGGGTTGATTAACAATCTGAGGGGAGAGGGTGCCGATAAGGATAGGCTTGGTAATGTCGGTAATCACAGGTCAGAGAGGTCAATTAATAATGGTTGGCGCACAGCATGCGAGATTCGGCTTATTGTGGGAGATAAATCGGAAAGATGCGGTGCAATGTGCCGTGCCTGGTGTGGACGTCGTGAAGAGTATGCAATGCCGGTATGTGGATGGCTTCTAGAAGATGTTGAAACCCAGGATCCCTAGGTGGAAAGATGTTTTGTTTGTTGATCGATTGGTAGCGTGGTTTGTTTGAATGGAATAATTGAGGACAAGAGCGGGAAGGGCGTCGGAGGCTGGAATTGGTGCCCTTTTTCATAGACGGGCCGGAGAATCGACGAGTCGTCTCAGTGACAAAAATGGATGACTGAATCAAGACAAGAATCGTCGATTTCCCTTGTCCAAAGACGCTGTCCGCACATTCCCCCTCACCATCCCACCTTCCACCCCTCCTCTTCCGCGGTGAACTCGGCAGGAGCCCGACTCCGAGGGGCAGGTCATTGGCGCATAGTGGGGTGTAGCATATCGCGTCAGCGCCTCTGGGCAGATTTGTATGCACTTCAGTGCTGCGGCGTATCTCCCCCCACTGGCCGCGACCTATGAGCTGCTGTTTGCTGAATCGTCGTGGTTTGGCTCTGTCCGACTCAGACCTACATCTCACGCTGAAGATCTGAGGCACGAAGCCATCGGACGCCTTCTCCCGAGCACCAAGCTTGTTTTGCAAGGACCTAGATAGGCTTTGGTTCAAGGGGTACATCCGCTGGAGAAAACCCAGACCCGAGAATTCCCATAGCGGGCTAACACACTGTGGCGCGCTGCTGACTTCCACCGAGCGCCCTGTAGCCTCCCTGGGCTCACCGAAGGCGCTGTCAGCTACGGGATATGCCTGGTGCCTGAGGATACAGCACCTGCCAGAAGTGACACCTTGCGCTGCCCAGCCTGACGTGACCCCGGCTTTCGCCAAGGGGGAAAGAACACCATCGACGACCGAACCACACCTTGTGCAATAGTTCGTCGCCAACCTTACTCCTGCTCGGTCTGCTCTGCTCAGCCGCCGTACTGCATCGGACTGCATTGGATTGAGATCCACACAACATCTCCCAAGACCATCCCTCGACCCAAACATCTTTCTAGTCCACCCTGC